TTTGTAATATTCTTAACTTGTGGGGTTTTAGTGTAATTAAATAAAGTAATTATTTTTCATCTTAGGGACCTTTTTGCAATTTAATTTGGAAGATATTTTAGAAAATGACATTTTTATAATTTTTGAAAAATGTGACAAGTGTCACATTCTCATGGTGCCACTTGTTGGCATTGGGGTGGAGTGACTTGGATGCATCATCTAGTGACATTTGGAGGGTAGGAATTCACCCACTTGTTGGCCTAGGATTGGTACACTTGTTGGCTTAGATGGTTGACAAGTGTAGGCTTGAGATTAAGCCTAGGAAGGAACCTTGGATTTGTGACAAGTGTAGGTTCACAATTAAGTCTTACAATTATTTTTGGGCCACTTTGGGATTATGGTTTTAAAGAAGGGTTTCTTGTGCAATTAACCAAACTTGTATGTGTTGACCATGGTGTAAGATCACATAATGAGTGGAGGATTTCTATTTCCTCCGCTCACACTTCATTCATTGTTTTCATTATCTTCCTCACCAAAAACCCTAGCTTCCATGGATGAAGCTTAAAGCTTTAAGCTTTGACTTGATTTTTGAGAGCCTTCCATTAATTTCCAAGCTTAACCTTGGGAATACTTTTTGTTCCCTTCATCCTCCTCTTCATAACCCTTGAAGGGTTTGCCATTTTGTGTTGATTTGCCTTGGATTCAAGAGGGACAATCCTCTTGTGAGGTAGAGGGTGTTGTAATTTATTACCTAAGGGTATTCCTTACTTTTGTAATGATATATAAGTTGTATGCATGTCTTTTGTTAACTTGAGAAATTAATGATGTATCATAACTTGCATATAACATACTTCAGTCTTGGTATATGGCATGGCCATGACATGATCTTTGTTATATATTAAATTGGGATGATTTAAATGAGTTTTAAAATCTAGAGATTAAATGAATTTAATTTGATTTAAATTCTAGTTAATTGTGTTTTGCTTGTATTCCATTTTTGACTTGATATATGGTATGACCATGACTTAGTACTAGACATATATTAATTTGAGGTCATTTGAACAACTTTTGAAATCTAGAGATTTAATTGATTTAAAGTAATTAAATTCTATTTGATGCTATCTTGCTCATTTTGCACTTTTGATTTGATATATGTAATGAGCATACTATGTTGTTTAACATATATTAATTAGAGGTTATTTGAATTTGATTTGAAATTTAGAGAATTTAATTATTTTGTTTAATTAAATTCTATCTAATGACTCCATGGATCTATTTGTGTTTTAGAAGTTGTTTCTATATTCAAATCATGGACTTGGACTTATTGTGTATTCACTTGGTTGTGTTTTGAGCAATTGATAACATTGTTGTTATATTTATATTCATGAGAACATATTTTCTTATTAGAATATATTGTTGCCTTATGTAATGAATTGCACACTTTGTAATTGACATTATATATACTATTTTAGAATTTAATCTCTAAGGCATGGATTATGTGATTTCAACCTACTTGTGCATGGAAGGTGTTTTCGTACATTATATAAATTATGTATAAGTTGTGAATTTATTTGATTTATTTAGGAGTCTTAGGACATTGTTGTTACAAGTGACATGGCTAGAGTTTGGCTCTAGTGCAGGAGGTATGAGTTCTCCCCAATTGAGATAGTGCGCACTAGGGTGGTCTTCCCAGCGGGTTAATGCCCGGAATAACCGTATTGATCTTGGTTTATCCCGAGACGTGATGTCCAAGTCTTCCACTAGTTGATTTCGCATTCAATTCCAAGTTGACAATCATGTTCAATTGTGACTTGTGGTTTTGGTTATTGGCGATTTTGATGTTGTTAAGTACATCTATGTTGTATGATTTTAATGAATCATTGTAAAAATTTGATGTTGTTAAGTACATCTATGCTAAATTATTATATTTAGTTGTTTTCGCACTTTAGATTTCAAGTTGATAACTTTGAGAATTTATATCTTGTTGCTTTGTATAGTATGCCCTTATGTTGTTTGGGATTGCATGCATGATGTGATTTATGCTAGAAATGTTTTAAGATAGCTTAGGATGCTCCCTGAGTCTAACCTTTGAAATAGACGTTAGGTAGCATGACTCTTTTGAATTGTTTCAAGTCAATGTAAAAATCTCTAAAGAAATCGAGTCATGCATGCTCATTCTTTACGAGTAAGCTTGTTTATTCACCTCGAAGTTATTGGGGGGCTGTTTCAGGTACGAAGATTTTGTTCGTGATGTTCATCATTGCTTGGATGATTGTAAACTTGAAGGTTTTTAATTCTTGTAAAGGTTGGCTTGGAATGCCACTTATAGCCTTTTATGTCAAAATGTGTATATTTGATTTTATATATGTAATATGTACATGAGTACACTCTTTACAATGTATTTGATATGTATGGGATGAGGCCGGAGGCCAATGATATGTAATTTGTATCCTATGTAATTTTTGACTTCATGGAATATTATGAAAATATTGAAAAACATTGAGTTATTGCTTCACCATGTTTGCATCGGATGTGGGAATTCCATTTTGATTCTTCCATAGGGTCTCACTAATCATGTATAAAGTGTGGCCAAGGGCCAAACGGTATTTTGAAACCATTTCATAATTTTGAATTCCGAGTTTTCATTCCAAGTTCTATTTTTGTCATTTTGGCCGTTGGTGGGTCGGATTTCAGCGGTATTTTTAAGCCGTTGATCATTGTAGCACATCCTACTAGGTAAGTTACTTTTGCGTGCATGTTTGTTTCTGGGCAAAACCTCATTCTTTGTGATTTGAGCCTTCTATGGACTCATTTTACGTTTTTATTGCATAATCTGATCTAGGGGCATTCTTGACTTTTTATAGTGGTGTTATTTTCTTCTTTCAACATGGTTGAATAGAAAACGTGATTTTAGGGGGGGTTTTTTCTTCGTATTTTTCCATAAAATGTCGTCTTGGTACCGAAAATCGTTCACGAAATTCAGCTTTCAGTTTTGCATTTAGCAGCTTTTTGGACCCTCATGACCAGATTTCATGGAGGGGCATTTTGGGCATCTTACAGTGAGTTTTTTTCGATTCTTTTTTCAATACCACATAGAAAACTCAATTTTGAGAGGGGTTTCTTTTTTGTGTTTTTCCAAAAAAATATCATCTTGACCTTCAAAAATCCAATATTTGACAGAAAACCCCTTGCTGCCAGTTTTCTTTGTTGAACCTACTGTTTTTGCTTTCTAACCAATGAGAAGGGGTCTCCTAAATGGTTAGATGTGCTTGGGCAGTGTTGTGGTCATGATTTTTAGCCTCCTAACTGGTTAGGAAGGTGTGGTAACCGATTAGATGTTCTAGGGTTGGCTCATTTTGACCTTTTTGACCATTCTTCTTCCATTAGCCATATCTTCTTCATCCGGACTCCGAATTAAGTGATTCTTGAGTCTAAGTTCACTAATTTTTCGTTGTCTTTCCAATGGTGCACTTGGTAGCACCCACTTTCATGTTGGAAATGACCATTTTGCCCCTAGGTTCATTCTTGTCAGTTTTTGAAACGTCGCTTCCGCATTTATTTCTTTTGGGTTCCGTGACCTCGTTGAGGGTCACATTGGTGTCTTAGAGACGTATTGTATCTCTAGAGACCATCGTTTCATCTTTTGCTTCTGCATTCTGGATCCAGTTCGGGTCATCACAGGACACACTAGGTTGAAAAATCCAGGGTCGTTACAAACAAAATCAACGTCCTATGATCACTCATGACTCGTGACCCCCTCTATAGCTTAAATGAAGCAGAGAATGGTCAAATACTGAGAATACAATAAGCTTACCATCTGGAAGTCAAAATCTGGACCGGGGAAAAAACTCGGTCCTTAAGAATAGATCATAAGTGTATAAGATATCAAGACAAATGGCATATGAACAGATAAACATCAATATCAAGCCAACACAGTCCTAACTTGATTCAAATTGCATTTCAAAATCTCAAGTTGTGCAAGAATTGATACTAAGGCTAAAGAATAGAAACAACATCCAAATCATGCATTTCAAACTCAAAAGTCCATAACACACCCCCAAACTTAGTCAAAAGTCAATCCCAAGAAGATGTGATCAAAGGATGCACAAAAAATCTCAAAAACTGTCAATGTGCTATAAGTATGTGCAAAATGGTGTATATACAAGCAATAGGTTGCAATTATTCCAAAGGCACACAATTATTCAAAAGAGATCAAATTTGACAAGTTTCAAAGTCATTTAAACAATAATGGAATTAATTGACTTCAAACAGTTGGGTTGGAATGGCAATTCAACTCAATTTGCAAGAGAAAATCAAGAATCATGATAAGGAATGTCAAGATACATTAAGCTTGTGCCCTAGCATTATGAAAGTACTTGCAAGCACTTTTAATTCTCTATAATGCTTTTGTACTTAAAATCAATCTCAAAGCAATAATAGCATTTCAACAAGGTTTCTGTTGTGTGTGTCTGTGTGTGTGTGTGTGTATTTTGGTTTCAACAAAAAAACAAAACTACTGTGCAAATCTCAAACCCATTGAAAGGTACATCAATGTCTAACAGCTCAAGATGCAATAATTTCAAAACACATCATACTCTAAAGAATGATATCTGTAACCAAGAAAGAGTGAGTACCAAGGCTGGTTGGATACTACTGATATGTAAATTCAGACTTAAAATTAACTAATGCATTAAAAATAAAGTACGTGTTTTAAACAAAGAGGCAAAAAATGCCCAAGACTTGTAGTGTCAACATTATGAGAGAAGTTTTCACAAATTTATTTAATCAGCCATGGGTGTCCCCATATTACACCTGAATGTCCGACAGATAGATAACATTAGAAACTGAAACAGTATGGCATTTATGGCAGCCATGAAAGGGTACAAGATGATTTTGACCATGCCCTCTTATACCAGCTTGGAAAGAAGGGTCACCATGAGAGCATTCGGGGCTGAGCTGATCCTCACCGATCCAACGAAAGGGATGGGAGGAACTGTCAAGAAGGCTTACGAACTTTTGGAATCCACACCAGGTGCTGTCATGCTGCAACAATTTTCAAATCCCGCCAATACTCAGGTAATTAACCAGTCCTGCCTGCCGAATTTGAGTTGACGTACTCTATTCTATTCTATGTTTGTCTCGTATTGTTTGGAATTTTGTTACATTACTTGTTAATTCTAAGTTATGTTTAATTATAGTGTACATTAGTTCTATATTTTGTTTAAATTCCATTAAGTACTTTAATAATTGAATTAGCATCGATATCACTAGGGTATTGCCCATTCAAAGTAAAAGAAATCCTCTTTTTGTCTATACAGGAACCAAGATGCAATTTCAAGACTTCATTCACACAACGTACATACTTTCTTCAAAATATATATCATTTTCTGCACGAAATCCTAGTAATGATTTTGAATCCAAGTTGAAACAAGCAGTTCTATATCTCCACAAATACCTCCATCGGCGTGAGAGAATACAAGTACAAGCTGCTTCCTTAAGTGTCAAACGAGAGAGGATGGTGATGAGGATGTCGTCTCGCAATCCACTTATTCCATCCTTCCTATTCCTATTCCGATTCCGATTCCTCTGATCAACATCCAAATAATCATATAAACACAAGAAAAAGAAACCATCATCAACAAAAATTAATAGAAACCACACTCTACTAAAAGTTTTAAGGACCACCATTCAAACATCACAATTTGAAAAAAAAAACAGACAGACAATAGTTCTAGTTTTATTCATGAAAAACAAAACTTTTCCTCTTCTTGCTCTCTTTCTACAATTTCACACATTCATATCCAAACACACCAATTGCCACAGGTAACTGAAAAACACAACTAAAGGAGCTGAGATTGACCTCCACATTATCATTAAAAAAAAAAAAAAAAATTAAAAGAGCACGGGGCCATTGTCCTAAGTAGTATAATCTCTCCCCTTCGGAGTTTCAAGCCATAAGTGGGGCAAAAATTGTGCGAATGTGAGACTCATCTACTATATTAAATATACATATATATGGTAGAGATCGAATATCTGTACACAGTTCAGCAGATGAAGTAACAACCATATAAATAAATTACAATCACATACTCACTTAAACAGCAAGACATAAAAATGTAATTTAGAAAGAGACAGAGAGAGCACTTACCTTGATAATCTGAAGAGATAAAAAAAGAAACCCACACAAGCATTAACACCATAATCCTTTTCCAGCTGACGTTTGATGTCAAAATTTGCTGAAAACAGAAAGCAAAAGTTTAAGGATCACTAACATAGAAGATAAAGAACACCACACCACATAGGCTTTACTCACCATATCCGTTTTATCCTCTTTAGGTACCAGTGGTTGGAACATGGACTCAACTAGAACTGGATATGGAAAAGTTACCGCAAACGCAAAGGAGAAAAATACATATTTTTAATCCATACAAAAAAATAATAATAAAAAAAAAATATAAAATAAAATAAAACAAAACCCATACATACAAGTTAGCAGTTAGAGAGAGAGAAACCCATACATACAAGTTAGTAGTGAGAGAGAGAGAGAGAGAGAGAGAGAGAGAGAGAGCGAGGGGGGGGGGGGGGGGGGGGCAAGTTTGAGAGTTGAGAGACTGTAATGACCCGGTTATTTTCCTTTTTCTTCTTTTTTTTCTCAGATTTTCACGGATATTTTTTTTCCGTTGATCTTTTCATTTCTGAATTTGGTTTCTCGTTACTTAGTGTCATCTTGAATGCTCGGAAATGGTTTCCGATACTATTTCCTTTGAATTGACGACTTCCTTTGAGGACCAAGTCTTTTCCACTTTTGTGACACTATTCACTTTTCGTCTTTTTCCCGTTTGTCACTTTGTTAGTACAACCTCACTTTTCGTGTTCGGATTTGATTCCGATTTTGCATGCATTCACGATGTTTAAATTCCATGCTATATGTGCTTTTACTTTTGTAGAAAAGCATGCTAGTTGTGTACTTTCTTCCTCAAGGGTGTGGATGCACACTTCTTTGAAATTTTTCTTTCTTTTGGGGTCATTTGTGTAATTACTTAAAGTAATTATTTTTGGTCTTAGGAACCATTTTACAATTTAATTTGGAAGATATTTTCAAAAAGGACCTTTTTGTAATTTTTGAAAAGTGTGACAAGTGTCACACTCTCATTGTTCCACTTGTTGGCATTTGTGTAGGGACACTTTGATGCCTTGGATGATGACATGTGGAGGGTGGAGATTCAACCACTTGTTGACCTACGATAGGTGCACTTGTTGGCTTAGATGGTTGACAAGTGTAGGCTTAAGATTAAGCTTAGGAAGGAGCCATTAATTTGTGACAAATGTAGGCTCCAAATGTGGTCTTGCATGTGTGTGTACGTGTTGACCATGGTGTTAGTTCACCTAGTCAGTAGAGGACTTCTAAATCCTCTACTCATATTTCATTTCCCTCATAATTTATATTATTCCTTACAAGAAAACCCTAGCCTCCATGGATGAAGCTTAAAATCTAAAGCCTTGACCTTGATTTTTGGGGCCCTTCCACTCACCTTAGACTATAAAGTTTGGAACACTTTTTATTCTCCTTACCCTCCTCTACATAACCCTTGAAGGATTTGCCATTTTGTGTTGATTTCCCTTAGATTCTAGAGAGACTCTTCTCTAGTGAGATAGGGGGTGTTATAATTTATTTTCTAAGTGACTTTACTTGTTTTTGTATGAGATATAAGTTGTATGCATGTCTTATGTTAATTTGATAAATTAATGATATATCATAGTTTGCTTATAACTCATTTTAGAATTGATATATGGCATGGCCATGACTTGACCTTCGTTGTATATTAAATTGGAATGATTTAAATGAGTTTTCAAATCTAGAGATTAAAAGAATTTAATTTGATTTAAATTCTAGTAAATTGTGTTTTGCTTGTATTCCATTCAATACTTGATATATGGTATGATCATGACTCAGTGCTTGGTATATATTAATTTGGGATCATTTGAACAACTTTTGAAAATTAAAGATTTAATTAATTTAAATTAATTAAATTCTACATGATGATGTCTTGCTCATTTTGCTCTTTTGATTTAATATATGTAATGAGCATGCTATGTTGTCTAGCATATAATAATTTGAAGTTATTTGAAATTGATTTAAAATCTATATAAATTAATTATTTTTTTTTGTTTAATCAAATTCTATCTAATGGCTCTATGGATCTAATTGTGTTTTAGAAGTTGTTTCTATATTTAAATCATGGACTTGGATTTATTGTATATTCACTTGGTTATGTTTTAAGCATAGGATAACATTGTTGTTATATTTAAATTCATAAGAGCATGTTTTCTTTATAGATTATATTGTTACCTTGTGTAATGAGTTGCACACCTTGTATTTGACATCTTTCATGCTATAGTAGTGGTGGACGTAGAGCATGTATTGTATGTGTTTCCAAATTTGGTTGTGCGTGGTAGCTAGTTGATTATCTTGTATATATATATTGTTATATACGTTGTTGCACAACTTATTGATTTTGGAAACTTGGGGATGTCGTTGTTTGACTACGGCTAAGACATGGTTCTACTATGGGGGAATGTCCTCCTATAGTCTAGTGCACACATAGGGCAGTTACCCGTGGGCTAATAACCCTAAAGTAACTATGGTGTCGGTTTGATCCGGAGTGATGTTCAAGTATCCACCTTGTTTAATTTCACATTTCATTCCAAGTTGATAACTATATGATGTTATAACTTGTTGTTTCTTATTTGATTTCCCATTTTAAGTTTCAAGATGTTAACTTTGAGAATTTATGCTTGATGCTTCGTGTTGGAAGTTCCAATGTTGGTTAAATTGCATCGATATGGTGAATTGTGTTTTAAATGTTCAAATGTAGCTTAGGAATGAACCTATAGATTCATTTGGAATATAGACGTTAGGTGGCATGACCCACTTTGTTGTTTTCGTATTTTAGATTTCAAGTGGATGGCTTTGAGAAGCTATATCTTGTTGGTTCGTATAACATGCTCCTATGTTGTTACTTGCATAGATATGTGAATCATGCTAGAAATGATCTAAGGTAGCTTAGGATGCTCCCTGAATCTCACCTTTAACATAGACGTTAGGTGGCATGATTCTTTTGAATTGTTTCAAGTTAATGTAAAAATCTTTAAAGAAATCGAGTCTATGCATGCCCATTCTCTACGAGTAAACTTGTTTACTCACTCTGAAGTTACTAGGGGTTTTGTTCAGGTACGAAGACTTGGTTCGTGATGTTCATCATTGCTTGGATGATTTTAAACTTGAAAGTTTAAAATTCTTGTAAAGGTTGGCTTGAAATGCCACTTGTAGCCCTTTATGTCAAAATGTGTATATTTGATTCTATGTATGTAATGTGTACATAAGTACACCTTTTGTATTGTATTTGACATGTATGAGATGAGGCCGGAGGCTAATGTCATGTATTTTGTGTCCAATGTAAACTTTGACTTCATGAAATACTATGAAAATATTGAAAAATGCCAAGTTATTGTTACACCATGGGTGCATTGGGTGTGGGAATTCCATTTTCGTTCTTTTATAGGGTCTCATTAATCATGTATGAAGTGTGACCAAGGGTCAAACGGTAATTTGAAGTCATTTGTAAATTTTAGTTTTCAAAATTTCCATTTCAAGTTTATTTTTGCCTTTTTGGCCGCCGGGGGGTCGGATTTTGACTTGGCCATTTCCGGGAGCCGTGGACCATTCCCACGTGCTTAAAATCACCTTTTACGTTTGCATGTATGATCGTTTTCAAGAAAAACCCTCTTTTTTTTGGTGTTTTGAGCCTCATAAGGACTCATTTTAAAATTTTCTTGCATAATCTTGCTCAAGGGCATTTTGGGGATTTCTTTTGGGAAATAAATTTCGTTTTCAACTCCGCCACATAGAAAATGTGATTTTAGGGGGAGTTTCTTCACGACATTTTTTCAAAAAATGTCATGTTGATCCCAAAAATCGCGTTGCAAACTCGCTTTTCTATTATTTCATTGTTCCTGCTGCATTTTTTGTGTTTTGGTGTAGTTGAACCGGTTCAAGAGTTTTCAGTTTTGAACTTCCGACTTTAATCTGACGTAACTTCTTCTTTTTAACTTTGAATTAGTCCATTCTTGAGTCTAAATTGACCGCATCGAAATAAGCTTTCTAGTGGTACCAATTTTAGCTTTAGATTCTTCTCCTAGCTCAAGCTATCCTCGTTTTAGTGAGCGGGTGTCGAATTTTGTTCCAACCGAGATAGGGTTCATATGGGATTTCTTTTCCTTTGGCCTTGGGACTTCATGTGAAGTTACCAAAGGATGTTTTTAGATGTTTTTGATCTAATTTGACTTTTTGGAAGTCAAATTCCTTCCTCTTAGGGTTACCCTTGGTCTTTCTTTTGGTATTTGATGCCCTTGTCTTCGTTTTGCTTTCACTGAGTCTCGAAATTCCTTGAAGGGCCATTCTTATGTCCTAGGGATAACGTACATCTCTAAGGTCTTGTTTTTGTTTTGCTTCCGCATTTCGGATCCACTTCGGGTCATCACAGGATACACTAAGTTGAAAAATCCAGGGTCGTCACAAGTGGTATTAAAGTGTCCGGGTTCGAATACCTTGGACGATGGGTTTTGGGTATATATCATGCTTTTGTTTCCATGCTCTATGTGTCTATATGCTTCATGATAACATGTTTTGGTTTGATAACATGTTTATGCGCTTACGTTCTATATGTGGTATGATATCTGTTTAGCCTGTTTTGATTCTATAGTAAAGAGCATGACATATGATATATTATAGATTAGATTTGTATTTGCATAACTGTGTTACATATTTGGCATGACACGGGATTGGTCATTGAGGCACGAGTTGAGGTTGATGGTGATTGTAGTCACAGTTTCGTGGTAGTGTAGGTTATTGTCGACCTAGCATTGGTTTTGAGGTAGGTGGTGAGTCACCTTTTGTTTAGGCTCTCGTGAGATGAGTCATTTGGCGTTGTCGTAGTGCTAGATTTGTTGGTTTTGGGCCACGATAAGGTTATGGACCTCTTAGGATCTTTAGTTGATCGGGATGATTCCTCTGGGATTGCAATTTTTGTGGGCAGGTACGTTTGTGGGCGGGTGCATGGCACTGTTATGCTACCGTACTAGCTAGCTACAAGTGCAGTTCGGATGGAATCAATGTTGGTTTTGTTTTGATAGGCGTAGTCCTTTTAGTTGGCAATGATGTAAGTTTTGTTTTGAGCGTTTGGTGTTGAAACGGTAATTGATGGTCGTTTTGGGGATGATTTTGGAGATCAATTTGATTGTTCGATTGTATGGCTAGAGTAGCCATTTCGTTTGAGTTCTCCTTGTATGATGATACTTTTGGGATCAAGTCGATTGATCGATGTTTTGGGGTTAGTGAGAGTATTGCATTGTTAGTGCCACTTGCAGTGTCACCTTTAGGTTTCGAGATGGATTGTTAGAGTCTTACCATTATG